AAAAAAAAAAAAAAAAAATTCCAAAGAAACTACAGTGACAGAAAGCAGATTGGTGGTTTCCTGGATCCCAGGACTTAGTGAAGGAACTGATTGCAAATGGGAACAAGGGAATATTTTGGATGCTGGAAATGTTCTATAGTGTCATTGTGGTTCTTTGATTGTATTCAATTGCTAAATCACACACCCACAGTTAAAATTGTTACAGTTTGTTGTCTAAAATGAAACATTAATAAAGTTAGGGAAAATTTTTTAGGGCTTAATAGATTGCCAGTAGATATTAACATAAGGTTTAGTTGCCAAACAATCTTTCAATGGGTTGCCAGCAAAGGGACTTTTAAAGGAAATTTCTAGGCACACACAGTCAGGGGGAAAAAAGTTTTCTTTTTTTCAGTGGGGTTAGAGTGAGATGGGATGTCATGGCATGAGGCTCCTGGGATCTTGGTGCCCTGAGGCAGTAACATGTGGTCCACTCTTGTTCTCACTGGCACAGCAGCTGAAACGGATTCAGAATTTGGGCTTACCATTTGCTCACAACCCCAAATAGACTTTTCCGTTGCCAAATTTCATGCAGCTCTCTATTTTTGACTAAGACTCATATGCTGTTGCAAATGCGAGATATTTTCTTCATGAAATGCAAAGTGTTAACCATTAAATGAAGGCGGCAGTAGAACTTGATGTGCTGCCTCATGGAAGATTTTGGTTTGCTACTGATGATACACTCTTTAATATGACCATTGTTTTTTTATCTTTTAGGGACTGTGGAGTTTATTATGGACTCAAAACATAATTTCTATTTCATGGAGATGAATACAAGGCTGCAAGTGGAACACCCTGTTTCGGAGATGATCACAGGAACTGACTTGGTGGAGTGGCAGCTTAGAGTGAGAATATTTTTTCTATTAAAGATTAGTCTTAGGCCGGGCGCGGTGGCTCAAGCCTGTAATCCCAGCACTTTGGGAGGCCGAGGCGGGTGGATCACGAGGTCAAGAGATCGAGACCATCC